TATACCTTGCCATATTACTATGCCCGTGCTGCGCACATATCAGGCACGGAAACAAACAATAAACAGTACACTATGGTCACTGCACTGGATTAAATACTTTCGCCTGAAATGCTCGTACAATATCTCTTTACGAACTGTAGACTGCCCATCCAAAATAATAATCTTTATAATTAATGCTACGACACATCACTCAATAATGTACTCATAAAATCAATTTCATCTAATCTAAACAAATAGAGAAGCAGAGGAAGAAGAAATATCGCGACCTCTAGATAAGTAGAATATTCGTTATTGCACGAACAATTTTTTTTTTCATAATTAGGTAGTTTCATTTTTATGAAAATAATTACAATATTATGAAAGTAGGCGACGTATATCACTGAGTCTCTTCTAGGTAACTTTGTCTATCTGTAGCTGCTTCATCTTTGAAACAGAATTTTTACACATCTTGTCTTTAAATCATGATAACCTGGTACTCGTACCTACAATCTTCTGTTACGAAACCTAATGTGACGTCAGCGCAGATACAGTCGGGGAATAAATTGAAACATTGATCAATATTCAAAGTCAAAGTCAAAGTCAAAATAATCTTTATTCAAATAGACTTCTTAAAAGTACTTTTGAATCGTCCAACATTTTTTCCCTACCACTCGTTCAGGACGTCTTTTGGCTGATAAGAAGAACGAGCAAGAAACTCACCAGCTCTAATATGAGTAATGACATTTACAAAAACCATGTCATTACCAGATCAATACATTATAAACAGAGATAAAAAAAACTATGGTCTTATAATAATAACATAATCATTTAATAATAATGGAAACAAGATAATGAGTTTAGAAGTAATCACCTATCCAGTTGCTGGATCATCTCAAGTCCAAGCGTTCTTATCTGTTACATAATCGGATACCTTATAATAAGCTTTTTTAATAAGTATTTTTTTAATAGTAGATTTAAACTGCATGATATCTAATTGTTGTATTTTGCTTGGGACCTTATTGTAGAAGCGCACACAAAGACCCTTGAAAGAGTTATTAACTTTTTGCAGTCTAGTGACAGGCACCGTTAATTTATTTTTATTTCTTGTATTAAAATTGTGTACATCACTTTTAATAGAAAACAAACTAATATTTTTACGAACGTACATTAAGTTCTCGTATATGTATTGAGAAGCAACAGTCATAATGTCTATTTCCTTAAATTTCTCCCTTAAAGAGTCCCTAATCCTAAGATTATAAATTGATCGAATTGCTCTTTTCTGAAGCACAAAAATTGTTTGTATGTCGGCAGCATTTCCCCACAATAGGATACCGTATGACATAACACTATGAAAGTAACTGAAGTATACTAATCTGGCAGTATCTATGTCAGTTAACCTACGTATCTTCATTACGGCATATGCTGCAGAGCTAAGTCTACTCGACAATCTATCAATATGTGGGCCCCACTGTAGTTTAGAATCTAATGTTATTCCTAAAAATACTGTGGTATCCACAAGGCCCATGTTCTTATCTTTTACATTAACATTTATATCTACTTTTTTAACATTAGGTAGTACAAATTTTAAGCATTTTGTTTTTCCTTCATTAAGGAGAAGATTATTTACATTAAACCAATGTACTACTTTAGCGATAGAATTGTTCACATCGTCATTTAGAGGTAACCCTCTTTTAATTTTAAACAAGAGTGAAGTGTCATCCGCAAACAAAACTATTTCGTGATCATCCCTTACGAAATAAGGCAAGTCATTTATGTAAATCAAAAACAAGAAAGGACCAAGTATTGAGCCCTGCGGAACGCCCATCTTAATTTTCGATCCAGGGGATCTTTTGCCATTGATATCAACCCTCTGTACTCTGTCAGTCAAGTATGAGACAATAAAATCCAATGAGTTATCTCTAAATCCATAAAAATGCAGTTTCCTAATCAATGTTTCATGAAAAACACAATCAAATGCCTTAGATAGGTCACAGAAAACACCTAACGCATCATGTGAATCCTCCCAGGCATTAAAAATTTCTTGTATTAACTCGACACCGGCTTCGGTTGTCGAGCGACCCCTTGTAAAACCAAATTGTTGTCGATTCATAAGCTTATTCTTGTAAAAGTACGTTTGTATTTGATCCAGCATGATTTTTTCAAAAATCTTACTAAACGTAGGTAGCACGGATATAGGTCTAAAGTTAGTAGGGTCAGATGTGCTACCCGATTTATGTAAAGGAATAATTTTACTATATTTCATGAGCTCAGGAAAAATACCACAATCAGTACATTCATTAAATATATAAGCTAAGATTGGAGCTATTGTCTCAATTACCGATTTAGAAACTTCAATGGAATTACCCCATAAATCAGCAGTTTTCGTTTTCTTTAGCTGATTAAAAGATTTTATTATATCTTTAAAATCAATGTGTTGAAACTTAAATTGGCTATTAGAATTATTTAAACTTGCCTTTAAAATAGATTCAGCAACAGTGGAAGAGGAATTCAAAGATTGTGTAATTAAGACTGGAATTTCAGTAAATAAATTTTCAAATACTGTAGCAACTTCAAGATCTGATGTTACTTTTTTATTATCAATGTTTAAATTAAAATTTATATTCCGGGATTTTTCTCTTCCAGTTTCACTATTTATGATATTCCACGTCATTTTAACTTTGTCTTTACTATTTTCAATTTTTGCATTTAAATAATTACATTTGGCTAAACGACACACTTTTTTAAATAATTTAGAGTAATTTCGTACATATTCTTTGAAGTCCTCACTTGTGTTATAATTACGTTCATCATATAGTTCATAGAGCCTTTTTCTGCTTTTGTAGATTCCTGGTGTAGCCCACACACTAAAAGTTATAGGATTACTAATACTTATTTTTTTTGGGACAAAAATCTTATTGAATTCTGTACAATAAACATCAAAGAAATCTTTGTACAAATCATTGGGATTACTATTATGTTTCAAATGATACAATTTACTATCTAATTGATTTTTAAAACGTTCCAAGCGACTCATACTTTTTGACACAACTGTAATGTCTCTCCTAGCCACAAACGTACATTTATGCGGAAAGCTAACTAGTTGTCCAAAATGATCTGACGGTAGTTGTTTAATTATCTGTCTTGAAAGTGGTACTAGATCTGTAAAAATGTTGTCAATACATGTGGACGAAGTAGCAGTTACTCTAGTAGGCTCCTTAAACATGTGCGCAAGATTATAGGACATAAATAGATTTAGAAGTCTTGTACATGAATTGGAGTTTCCTAATAAATCAACGTTAAAATCACCCCCAATCACTAATCGTTTGCCTTTGCTATATACCTTTTTTAATGCTTCATCCATAACAGTTTCAAAGAGATCATAATGAGAAACTAAACTTGAAGGAGGTCTATATACGCTCAGTACAATCAGCTGGTCCAGCTCTATACAGGCAATCTCTATTATTTCCTCAACCGATAGGCTCACTATATCTCTACGTTCTTTAAATTTAAACTTTTTATTTAATAAAATTAGTGCGCCACCACGCATTGCGTTTTTCCTAATGAACGCGCTACCAACCAGGTGATTATTGAAGTTAAAAATGCAATTATAACTTGTTAACCAATGTTCCGTAATACAGAAAAAATCAACATTGTTACAGTTCATGAATAATTCCACTTCTAACTCTTTACTCAACATTCCTTGAACATTTTGGTGCACTAGGTTGATGACTGAAAAACTCTTGGTTCCATTATTACTTTGACTATTAAATAGCAAGCAAGAGGAATCCTCTGTTGTCTTAGTATCTAATTTAAAGACGAATTTGTCGCAATGTCAGTAGGATTATTACTGACAGTCATGTCAATAGAAGAGTGCTCAATAGGAGCACTCTGGTTAGCCAAATTTTTGGCTGTTATAGAAAAAAAATATGATAGCGAAATAGCTATTTGTCTTTTATAATAATTGGAAAGATAATATTTATCTTTAGTCAAATAAAATTTTCTAACATACTTGTTAGTGTCAATGACATGAAACTTTGCAGTATTGCATATAGTGTGCAATGTCATATTCAATTTGTATCGCAAATTATTTTCTTCATTGGACAAACTATTGCAATACGGCAACGTAAAAATCACGACTTTCCCAACACTTAATGAATTTAATTCGTTTATATATTTCAATAATTTATGTTTGTTCAAAGTACCTCTATTGCCAATAAAAAACAATAAAGTGGTATTTTCGCTGTAGTTTTGTTTAATTGCTTTTTCCAAAATATCACTAAACGAGGAATTAGGCATACAGAAGTTTAATGTTGAATGGCTCTTATCGAATAGCAAACGGCCCATGTTTCTGCCAATTTCATCACTGAACATTAAAATATTATTTTTATAATTTTGTGAATTTATTCTGTGACATTGGGAAAATTGTGATGGGGAGCAGTCATCAGTAACAGATGACTGAACAGGTACCTGAGTAAACAGTTGTGACTGGTGGGCAGATGACTGACAGGGTTTCTGTGTAACTGTATTTATAAATTGTTTCTGAATATTATTATTGTTATTGTTACTAAAGCTGTTATTTGTTTTGTTAATTAATTGTTTATTATTTAACAGTGAATGGTAACGGTCAGCATTGTAATTGCATAGGTTAACCAACTCTGTGGCAGACCTAATATGCTCATCAATCTGAGACTGTGCAACTAAATATTTATTTTGTATTAATTCTATTGATTCATGTAATTTTTTTATTTCAAATTGAAATTTTTTTGTATCCCGGTCATACATCTGCCGACTTTCACATAATTTATCACTATATATTTCCAAAGAATCCATCAGACTACTGCGTTGTTTCCTCAAGGCAATATTTTTATAAAAACAATTATTCTTCTTTATCAATCTCTCAGTTTTCTGGATAACTTTTCCAATTTTAATATATTTCTTAAGTTTCCTAGTACTTAAATTAAAATTGATCTGACTCTTAGAGTGTATATCACAGGCTGTTAGTTGATGCCTCATCGACTGACCTCCAGGTGATGCAACCAGTTCTTCAAAAAGACTTTGGGTGTATTTTGCTTCATGTTCTTTTTGTTGTTCGAGCAGTAGTTCTATTTTATTATTGGCCAAGTTGAGCTCCTGTTCCAGTTCTGTGATGCGGTTGAGTACCATCTCATGAGTATTTAATTCTTCTTTGAGAGTACTGAGTGCATCCTTAAAATGGTCCCTTTGATGCATTACTTCTATATGCTCAGTATGCAGTTCACCAAGCTCACTCTTCAGTTGTGAGTTCCGACCAATAATACGTTTGATTTCTTCTTCACTTTCATCTCGTTCCTGTAGTAACTGGTTACATGTGTCCTTTGAATCCTTTAGCTCCTGTAGTGCTTGCCTTAACTGCATTTCTGTATTTTGTGCAAAAGCCTTACGGGTCAACATATTGAATCAAATTTCTTCCCCGGTTTGTGATGCAGCAGTCCACAATTATATCTTTTCTTGATAGATTTTTGTTTGTTTTTCGTCTTTATCTTCTCCGACAGATAGACGTTACATATTTGTCTGGCACGATTATTTGAATGTAAGCGATTATATTTACATGGTAAGATCAATTATCAACACTTAAGGCTTTGTTTTCACTTTCACAAAACTAATATTAATAAATATCGCGATATATTTAATTTAAAATAACCATAAACACAATTGAAATATATTCGTGTACATATTTCAATTGTGTTTATGGTCAATTTATTTATTTTCTAATTGTTTACGCCATTTACTATGGTCATGGTTTTTATATTCATTAATAAAGAGACATGTGAAATTGATCAATATTATAAAATAATAAATTTAAATAATTAGTATTTTGTGCGGTTCTTCCGTTGAAGGACATCCTGTCCTTTTCTTTCCTTGCCCCTCCCATATCTCCGTCCTTGTCACTCGCCAAATACGTTCGCCGCAAGGGCGTGCTGATAGAAAAGGTCGGTTCCGGTTTTGGATGCATTCGCCATAGAAGTTTTTCGCGAGTGCTCCTAATTGAAAATTAATAAAGGCGACATTACTGCCTCGGAACTCATATATAAACCTGTGAAGTATCTATTATACATGTGTAACAAATAAAGGTGTTGTGTTTGTGGCCACAAAAAACTCAAGTGCAAGTGAAAACCGCTGACCGGCGTGGACTCGCCAACCATATTATATCGAAGGACAGTTATTAAAATTATATTGGTGAGTTTCCATTCCCATTTCTCATCCCCTTCTCGAACCAGCGCGAACATAATTATTTGGTCACTTCGGCCACGGATAGTTTTGTAAATTCATTACACGTTTATTTCAACAGACGCCATTTTGTTTGTTCAAAATAATATTGCAGCGGTTTCACTTGTCTCTGTTCCTATTATAATTATCATCGGTCAATAAATAATTATTTACACTTCACCATGGCTACTGAAGCCGACCCTAAATGTCAATTTTTCAGATCTTTGCGTAGATTAGAAATTAAAATGAATACCATTTTTGCTCGAATGCAACGTATTTATGATAATATGTCTACCTTAGACTCTCCTGATCGCGTGGATACATTTTTATCTACTGCGAGTACGATCGACATTATTCGATCGGACTTTTTACGAACATTAGACGAACGTAATGAATTGTTGTCGTCAAAGGCGGACGCTGGAGATCCCAATTACGAATCCATGCTTGCTTTTGAAGATCTTTATGCGCGAGTTAAATTCAAATATTCACAGTTATCATCACGGTCTAATACCTGCGAGGCGAAAATACTGTCTCCGGTTAAACAAGGCCCGAAATTACCGAGGCTTGAGTTGGTTTCTTTTAACGGCGAGTTAGAGAACTGGCCTATATTTTATGAAACATTTAAAAATACTATTCATGATAATAACACTTTAAATGATTACGAAAAGATTCAATATTTATTAGGTAAATTGACAGGAAAAGCACAAACTATTTGTCAGGGATTTATGCCTACTTCAGAGAACTATTCTGTGTTGTGGAATACATTAGTAAATAAATACAACGATAAACGCGTCTTAGCCGCGTCTTATCTTGATAAATTAATGAACTTAACTTCAGTTAAAGATAACTGTTCCAATACTTTAGCGGACTTCATTGACCAGTATTCATCATTAGTAAACTCATTAAAACAACTTAATATGGATAGTTTAGAAGACTTCATTTTTATACACCTTGGATCGAAAAAGCTTAATTTAGATATTTTAAAATCATTTGAAATACAACACAGCAACTCTGATAAGCTACCTACTTGTTCCCAATTTATTAATTTTGTACGGAACCATTCACATATTTTGCAACGCGTGAATAATACAGTAGAAGCAAAACCATCTACTTCAAAATTGCAATCTGTTTCAAAAAATAGTCGAAATTTAACTTCACGGTCTTTTAATACATATGATAAAAATAATAAGATGTTTGTTGTTAACGAACAAAATGCTTGCTTATGTTGTGGTAACAAAGATCATTCTCAGTTACGGTTCTGTAAAAAATTTATTTCCTTGACGCCTTCGGAACGTTTTAATATTATTAAATTAAATAAAGCTTGTGTGAATTGTCTTAGCCCGTCACATTTGATACGCCAATGTAATTCAAAGGCTACCTGTGCTCAATGTTCACGTAGTCATCATACTTTATTGCATTTTATCACCAATACTGACACGCAAGTTCAACGCCCGAATAACGTAGGTACTACGAAAACAGCTGTTTTACTTCAACCACCCGCGTTGAACAATACATCGACAGCGCGCGATTCGCGCTCGGTATCGTTATGCACGACGATGTTGCAACAAAATTCCGTCGTCGGCGCCACTGCCGCGCGTAGCGGGAGCGACTCGGACTCGCGCATGCGAACGGTGCTTTTAGGTACTGCGCGATGCAATGTTGTAGACGATTGCGGTAATATTCACGGCGTTCGCGTTTTAGTTGATAGTGCATCACAGCGAGATTTAATTACTTTAAATTGTTGTAAAAAATTGAATTTAAAATTACATCCTTCTCCAACTAAATACGTATGCGGAGTAGGTAATATGAATAATCCTATTGAAGGGTTTACTTGCTTAACATTATGTTCTACTTTGGACAATTCTGTTTGTTTTTCTATTAAACCGTTAGTGGCTCACCGTATTACAAGTGAGTTACCTTCCGTGAAGATAGATCGCGAATGTTTGGATTATTTGAAGGACATTCCGTTAGCAGATCCGACTTATTCGGAACCTGGCGCGATCGACTTGATAGTCGGTTCGGACATTTTCGCTCGTATTGTACGACCGAATGTTATAGCTCGCGAATTGAATGAACCCGTAGCTATAGAAACTTCGCTTGGATTTATTGTTTACGGTCAAGCCCCGGTATTTAATACTGAGTCAGACGTGCACACTTATTGCACATTAGATTATAACTTTTCGTTAAAAGATTCGATAAATCGGTTTTTTGAGTTAGAGGACGTGCCTACAGCCAATTTACTAAGTTCAGATGAAAGGGATTGCGACGAATTTTATTCTCAGACTACGTTACGTGATCAGAGCGGTCGGTACATCGTTTCGCTACCGTTTAAAAAATATCCCTCTAAATTAGGTGATTCACTACAATTAGCCCTGCGTAGGTTTTTATCGTTGGAGCGGAGATTAGCGTCTAATGATGATATTCGCCACCAATACAATGAGGTCTTTTTGGATTATTTGAAAAAAGGATACTTGGTTCCGTTCAACGGTGACTTAAAGTTTGATTCTTATTACGTTATTCCGCATCATGCTGTCATACGGCCCGACAAAAGTACAACTAAACTGCGCGTAGTCTTGGACGCAAGTATGAAAACGTCGTCAGGGTTGTCACTTAATGATTTATTACACGTTGGTCCCAACTTACAAAATGATTTGTTTAAAATAATGTTGAATTTTAAATTATTTCCTGTAGCCATTAGCGCTGATATTAGACAGATGTATTTACAAATATGGGTACAACCTGATGATTGGCGATTCCAAATGGTATTATTTCGCGATGATCGCAGTCATTCGCTTCAATTATATCAGATGACTAGAGTTCCATTCGGTTTATGTGCGAGTCCTTATCTTGCTATTCGAACGGTCCGTCAATTGATTAAAGACGAAGGTTCGAATTTTCAAGTCGCGGCTTCTGTTGCTGAACGCGATATCTACATGGACGATCTGGTTACGTCTTGTAGTTCTCCTTCGATGGGTATCGAGCTGTCACAACAGCTAATGGAAATGTTCCATGCTGGGGGGTTTGATCTTGTAAAGTTTTCTAGTAATTCTTCCGAAGTAATGAAAAATATACCTTCAGACGCTCGTGTTTCCGCCGATATTGAATTCGGCCCTGATGATTCTTTTAAAATTCTAGGGCTTCGCTGGCTACCAGGTGAAGACATATTTATGTTCACTGTGAACGAACGTAAGTGTGAATGTACTAAACGTAACATTCTTTCTACTATTGCCCGTTTATGGGACATTATGGGATTCGTTGCTCCAGTTACATTATTAGCGAAATTAATTGTCCGTTCGTTATGGACCGATCAGATTGATTGGGATGAAAAACCACCACAGCATATAATATCACTGTGGAGTCAAATTGAATTAGAATTACCTTTATTAGGGAATATTAAAATACCGCGATACGTTGGTTACAACCCTAAGTGCTTAGTATCCGTGATCGGATTCGCCGATGCTTCTGAACAAGCGTATGGAGCGGTTGTATACCTACATATATATTTTCCTGATGAAAATAAATATTTAATTAATTTAATATGTGCGAAGTCGCGTGTAGCGCCAGTGCGTAATGTTACGTTGGCTCGTTTGGAGCTTTGTGGTAACTTAATTTTGGCAAAATTAATGCGGATTGTCATTGATACGTATTCCGAACGTATAAAAATAAATAATATTTTTGCATTTACTGATAGTCAGGTTGCATTAGCCTGGATTGAGGCGCCTTCTTCTCGTTGGCAGACTTTTGTGGCGAACAGGGTTGCCAAAATTCAGGAGTTATTGGATCCTAGTAATTTTTATTTTATCCCGGGTAAAGAAAATCCAGCGGACTGTCTTTC